TTATATGTAGTGATGATGGATGTTGTTATATGTAGTGATGATGGGTGGTGTTATATGTAGTGATGATAGGTGGTGTTATATGTAGCGATGATGGATGGTGTTATATGTAGTGATGATGGGTGGTGTTATAAGTAATGATGATAGGTGGTGTGTATATAGTGATGATGGGTGGTGTTATATGATGGGATGGTGTTATATGTAGTGATGATGGATGGTGTTATATGTAGTGATGATGGATGGTGTTATATGTAGTGGTGGTGGTGGTGACAGTGATAATGACAGTGGCAGTGGTGGTGATGGTGATAGCGGCATGTTTGTGGTGATAGTGGTGGTGGTAGAGACTGGTTGATAGTAGTGGTAATGATGGTGGTGGTAATGATGATGGTGGTAGTAGTGGTGGTAGTGATGGTAGTGATGGTGGTGCTATACGTAGTGATGATGGATGGTGTTATATGTAGTGATGATGGATGTTGTTATATGTAGTGATGATAGTGGTGTTATCTGTGGTGATGATGAATGGTATTATAGTAGTGATGATGGATGGTGTTATATGTAGTGATGATGGATGATGTTATATGTAGTGATGACGGGTAGTGTTATATGTAGTGATGATGGATGGTGTTATATGTAGATGATGATAGGATGATTGTTATATGTAGTGATGATGGATGGTGTTATATGTAGTGATGATGGATGGTGTTATTTGTAGTGATGATGGATGGTGTTATATGTAGTGATAATGGATGATGTTATATGTAGTGATGATGGGTGGTGTTATATGTAGTGATGATTAGACAATAAAATAATAACAGTTTAATGCTAAAAACATGGTGGAACTTACATACACCATTAATGAACTATTGATGGAAGAAGAAGTTTTGGGGACTGAACAGTGAGACAATGTGGAGCCTCCCGGAGGGTTGCGTCCTACCGTGGCCTAGCGGATGAGCCGCCCGGAGGGCGGCGATTCTGCTGTGTGTATACATATATATATATATATATATATATATATATATATATATATATATATATATATATATATATATATATATATATATATATATATATATATATATATATATATATATATATATACACGACTATACAACACCAGATATACATACAGTACAAGGGATAGCTGTAGAAAAAGATGAATATATAAAAATAGCGAAGTAACACGCTGTCCTTACCCTTTCCTTCTGGGTTATTATATACAAGGCTAGTAAGACTGGTCAGGTGATGCTCACACACACACACACACACACACACGAGGGTTTGTTGTGTTTGACGAGACGTAAACAGTAACAAACCCACATGGTGTTATTGGGATTGGTCACTGATCTTGAAATCTAATTCTTAGAAGGCCGTTCATTACGCTTTCCCTAAACGGCCATAACTGGACATTTAAGAAAGAGTCCTGACATCCTTATGTAAACCTACAGAAGGGAGATACTGGCTTAAAGATGACGTCAAAATTGCAGTAATACTGTAACCATAGTTTCAATTAGAGGAAATAAGTTTAGCTACGAATCTTTAAAACTTTAGTCCTGGCGTCCAAGGAAAACACTCGTTTAAGTGTACTCGCTGTCGAAAGGCCAACGTTAAGAAGGTGTCTGGAGGAGGAGAAATCATCTAATAATAATAGAGAGTGAAGCGAGTGATGATAAGAGAAAACGAATAAAATTGTGAAACTAAAATTATGTTGAAATAATAGTAAGGATACTGTAGAGTGAAGCTAAATTTGGCTTCACTCAGGCACTTTCGTACTTATTATTTCCATCTTGAGGGCATACAGGAGGAGTGTGTTGAGGTACTATATACAGTATATCTGTATATATAGGTTAATTTACCTTGAGTAAGGTAGACACAGGCACTAAAAGATATTATTACAAGGTAACAATTTATCTATGGCCACGTACTGTCAGGCAGGGTTATGATATAAGGCTGGCCATAAACTGATAGTAGAACGGATAATGGAAAATTCGTGCAAATGGTGATGCAAGAATGAATGAATGAATGGTATTGGGGGATTACTGGCCTCTTCGCCGTTAGGCTATTTCGGCCGAAGCTGATTGGTTGGACTTCTTCCTTTTCTTGTTTCTTCTTTTGCTTTTCAGTTTCCATTCTTCTTCGTGGTCTTCTTCTGGGATATTCTCATACACTTCTATAAACGATGTTAAAGATAGTGTAATGAAATCGGGTTTAATTGTTGTGATCTTGTTCTGGTCTTGCTTGTTCTTTTCTTGATTTTTCACTACAAGGAGGGCCTCCTTGTAGCTCAGTCTTTCGTTAGTCCGCAGCTTGGCCACCCTGCACTCCTCCCTCCACTTGGGTCACTCCCGGTCGGAGGAGGAGTGAGGGCTACCACAAGCTGCGCACTTCTTGGCGGCCGCCAAGCAGTTGGCGTCTTGGTGCCCGGGTGTCCCGCAGCTTGAACACACCTCCCGAGCACGACACTTCCGCCCCAGATGGCCGTACTTCTGGCATTTGTATGAACGAGTGGGTCTTCGCTGGTACGGTTTTACTGGGATCTTCTCCCATCCCAGCAAAACGGAGCTAGGAAGTTTCTTTGGGAAGCCAACCAGGGCAGCTGTACTGGTCAGCTTCCGAACTATTGAGAGCTGATCTCCTATCAGCTCGGCAAGTTCTTGTTTTTCGAGATGTTCGATTTCTGTGTGGGAGATGACTCCGAAAACCAAGTTGTCCTGTCACCCCCGTGATTCCCGAGGAGTCAAAAAACTTCCTCAGGACAAGGAGGTTGAGTTGCTTGCGCGAAGGGCGCTTGACTGGATACAGTCTAACGACCTTCGCCTGGTTGCAGGTGAACATGGTCACGCGGTACCTCGGGAGCAGAGAGAACCTACCTCGCCGAGGTTCAGTTCTCAAGTGCAAGAATGAAATTTGGCATGTTTATACCCTAGGGGCTACTTGTCAAATCTGCCTGATTGGCCATTTGGAAATCCAAGATGGCGGCCATTTTTCAGGATGGCTGCCAAATTGACCTTCGAAAAATGATTATTATTTTTTTTTAGAAATTGGTGTAGTTGGTCAATCTAAATGATGTTAGTGTCGATATGTATGTTTTCAAGCATGCTCAGATGATTTTTTTCTATTTCTGATACTCTCAGATATATATTTGTCTTATTTATGACTGGTTTTATGTTTTTTTCTAACTAGGTGAGGGTAGCATGCAGAGGGGTCTCTGCATATGAGGGAGTGATTGTCGGACACTACCAGGGAACACTGGTGACATCACTGCTATGCAACCCAGCATGGGGTTCAGTCTCAGCTAAGAAAAATCATGTCATACTGCAACAGCTTAGTGTCCCAAATGCTGCTTAACCAACCCCAAATCAGATAAGCAGCCGCACCTAAATTGACAGGATGTGCCAGCGCGGGAGAGCCGAGCCAAGGATAATGGGGTTTTAGTTATCTGGATGGTGTACAGATCGCACGGGACTAATGACACTGGATGAATGATCGGATTAGGTGTAGGGCAAGTTGTATCCCATATAAAAAAATGCTCATCAGGGTGGTAAAAGGATAAACCTTCGGCCATGAAGAACAAAAATAGTTATGGACAAAAAATCTACCAACAAATCATTCCTCACTGACTGGGCAAAGTGTTGTCTTTGTCAACAGGATAAGAAGGAAGAGTTTATGTCTCCATATGCAATTCCTGCCAAAAAATTAGATGACGGTTACAAGAGCTTGGCAAGGAATATTCCTCTATTTCATTCAATCAATGCACTGCCAATCAAGCTTGACTTTGCAAGACTTGTTGAAGATGATGGGATAGAGGAGACCTTGAGGAGAACCAAGACACAGTATCATGAGAGTTGCAGACTTCTGTTCAACAACACAAAGTGAAATAGAGCTCAGAAAATGCGAACCTCTGCAGTTGCTACAAAGGAGAGCAGCAATAGCAAGATACCACGAATGGTCAGAGACCCCAAAGCAACAGAATGCTTTCTATGTGAGGAAGAAGCTTCGGGAGATGACATAAGACATGCAATGACAATGAAACTTAATAAAAGATTGAATGATTGTGCGAAGACACTTTAGCGATGGAAAACTCCTTGCCAAACTAAGTGCAGGAGATGTTGTGGCACAAGAACTGAAGTATCACCCTCGCTGCCTGGCAGACCTATACAACCGAGAAAGAACACACCGAAATATTCATGAGCAAGAAGAAGCACAAGAGCTTCATCCGAACAAGTACGCATACCCAACTGCTTTCTCTGAACTGGTCACTTACATCATTCAGATGAACGCTTCTAGTGAAGGGACTGAACCACCCATTTTCAGACTTGCTGACCTGGTCACACTCTACAGACAGAGACTTGAGCAGCTGGGTGTTGGATCGTCCGATGTTCATGCTACTCGACTGAAGGACCAGCTGCTTTTTCACATCCCCCAGCTGCAAGCTCATCACCAAGAAAGAGATATCCTACTGGCCTTTGAGAAGGATGCTGGCTCAATCCTGGCACAAGCAAGCAAATACGGTGACGCGATCCATCTGGCCAAGCCTGCTGGGATGATACGACGGGACATGCTTCAGCACAAGTCACACTTCAGCAATACATTTCATGAAGAATGCATTGAACAGGCTGTTCCACCATCACTGATTCAATTTGTATGTATGATCGAACATGGTGCAGATATCAAATCCCAACTTCAGCATGGCGCATTGAAGTCTGAACTTGCTATGTCACAGCTCTTACAGTACAACTGCTTTGCCAACTACAAGGAAGGAACACAAATCCACATACACTCAAAGGACCATGAGACACCTTTTGCTATCTACGTCGGCATGTCTGTGTTTACTAAGACAAGAAAGAGGCAGTTTATCGACATGCTGCATGGAAATGGGGTCAGCATTTCATATGGCAGAGTTCTACAATTATCAGCCCAGCTAGGAGAAGCAGTTGTATGCTAGTACGTGGAAGATGGATTGGTGTGTCCACCAATCTTGAGGAAGAAGTTGTTCACGACTTCAGCAGTGGACAACATTGACCACAACCCCATTGCGACTACGGCCAAAACGTCCTTCCATGGGACCAGTGTGTCCATCGTCCAACATCCAAGCCCTGAGCAGGCTGGTGAGGAACGTGAGCCACTCATACGGAATGCAGATACGATGGTCAAGAAAGTTCCTGAGCTTACAGAGGCATTCACCAATGTCCGACCAGCTTATATTATGAAGAATCCCAATCCTCCCTTGGTAGCACCTCAGTCATTGCCAGAACCTGAGTCAATCCAGTCACACCTGCAGGAAGAGTATGCTTGGCTGGAAGAGGTCTTGCTCACTGAGGATGTGGCATATGAAGTCTGCATCACATTGGCAGCTCACCATGCAGCACAGAAGAGGAGTCAGCCATTTGAAGTGAGCATTACGTCTCTGCTTCCCCTGCTTCGAGATCAGGCACACACTGTGGTAACCATCAAGCATGTCATGTAAAAGGTTCGTGATACAGTGGCTTTTCTGAGCCCAGGTCAGATCCCAGTCATAGCTGCTGACCAGCCACTGTATGCCCTGGCAAAACAAATCCAGTGGCATTGGCCTGAGTATGGAGAAGACATGTATGTTATTATGTTCGGGGGACTTCACATAGAGGTGGCTGCACTGAGATCACTAGGGACGCTACTACAAGACAGTGGTTGGACCGGTTCCCTTATTGAAGCAGGAGTGGCTTCATCTGGTACAGAAGAGTCTTTTCTGTCTGTATCAAGTGTAACTAAGACAAGACTAGCAAGTCACAGCATGCAGCTTGTACAAACTGATGAAGGAGGCATACCAGGACTATTGCTCTCATGAGTCTGAAAGGTCAACTTTGAGCTTTGAAGACTGGTGTAAGCAACGGAGGCTTGAGAAGTCACAGTTCCAATTCTGGAACCTTGTGTTGGACATGGAGCTCACCATCTTCATGTTGATCCGCTCATTCAGCGAAGGCAATTTCAAACTCTACCTTCAAGCACTCTCAGAGCTGATCCCCTACTTCTTTGCGAACAACAATGTTAATTATGCCCGATGGCTTCCAATTCACCTTCGAGGCATGATGTGCCTTGAGCAACAACATCAAGAGGTAGCGAGGGAGTTCTACAAGGGGAACTTTGTTGTCCACAAGTCAGGAAGAGAGTTCGCTGCCATTGTATTGATCAAGCCCATGAACAAAACAATGCAGTGATTAAAGGCGATGTAGGAGCAATTGGGTTGACTGAGGACCCAGCAGCACTTCGTAGGTGGATGGTGGCTGGATCTGAAGTGAGTCGTCTTGTTGCTGGATATGAAGCTGCGTCAGGTGCAAAAGATGGAACCACCACCAGCAGCCGACATCATGAGCAGACCCTGAGTGCACAGAAATCTTTCTTTGAGAAGGTGGAAGCACATTCCAAGGTGCTGCGGGAGATGGACAACCCTTTCCAACAAGAGTCATCTGACCTTCTGGTGTTAGACACAAAGAACATTGTACATCCATATATTGCTAAAATGGTTGGTACACACCATGACAGAGGAAAAGAGCAATTCCAGTCAAACATGAACACATTGTTAGCAGTTCCAAAGAGAAGGTACTGAAAGATGACTGTCAGCTGTTCTCGCGACTCTTCATCTCCAGCCAGAACAGATAATATGACTTGCAAGAATTCTTCAAGCATGAGATCCAGTAAGCTCCTGCCTCCCTTAGTGACAATGGCAAGCTTCATACATGTCAGAAGTCACAGCTGGCTGAAATTCTTCAAGCACAAGTGAATGCTACAGAGAGAGAACCACATGGAGATGCTTTCATCATAGATGGTTCAGCACTGATCAATGCCCTGCCTCCACGCACCTCAAAGACTTTTGATGCCTATGCCAGAGAAGACATCCTGCCCAAAGTGGAATTCTATGGTGCCAAATACAATAGTGTGGATGTAGTGTTTGATGTGTACAAAAAGTCAAGTCTGAAGTCTGAAGCCAGGTCGAAACGAGGACAGGGGATCAGGAGAAGAGTTACAGGAACCAGTAAGACTCCCAAAAACTGGAGAAGCTTCTGCGAGATGACAAAAACAAGACAGAACTATTCCATTTTCTCGCGGAGAAAATGTGTGAAGCACAGACGACAAGCATGGTGGTTGTGACAAAGGGAGAAGATGCCATTAGCAACACAGAGAAGTCCCTAGAAGCTGTGGCTCCATGCTGTCATGAGGAAGCAGACACACGAATATTTGTGCATGCTCGAGATGCAGCAATGGAAGGTAGCAAGTCCCTCATCATCAAAGCAAATGACACTGACGTAGTCGTCATAGCAGTATCTGTACTGCCATCACTACAGGAGTTTGGTCTTGATAACATGTGGATTGCCTTTGGCCAAAGAGCCAGTCATCGATGGATTCCAGTTCATGATGTAGTTTCTGCGATAGGGACTAAGAAAGCTAGTGGGATCCTATACTTTCATGCTTTCACTGGCTGTGACGTTGTGTCTGGCTTCCATGAGAAAGGAAACAAATCTGCGTGGCAGACATGGAATGTCTGTGATGAAGTTTCAGAAACATTCACCAACTGACCAAATGTGCCTGTAAGAAAGACTGCAACCAGAGATGCAAATGCTTTCGCTCTGGACTTTCCTGCACAGCACTTTGCAGCTGCATATGTGAACAGCAGTAAATGCACAAAGATGTACTGTCAGGAGAAGTCACAGGAACCAGTGCTAATAGTGAGTACTTTTTTTTTAGTAAGTTCTTTTTTGTTATATTTTTTTCCTAAAAGTGTTATTTTATGTGGATAAAAATGTTACAATGGACTTAAAACTATAAAACAATCATCTGAGCATGCTTGAAAACATACATATCGACACCAAGATCACTCAGATTGACCAACTACATCAATTTCTATAAGAAAAATCAACTTTTGAAGGTCAATATGGCGGCCATCTTGAAAAATGGCCGCCATCTTGGATTTTCAAATGGCCAATCAGGCAGACTTGACTAGTAACCATTAGAGAATTACCATGCCAAATTTGGTGCTTGTATCACCATTTGCATGATTCTCTTGAAAAATTGCATTTAGCTGCCCCACTATGAAGGTTACTGACTGTGAGGAAAGCTAACATTGTGATCAAAAGTGTTCCTGATGGCACTGGATTCAATACTCTTATTAATAATGAGTTTGTATGAAATTATTTCACATTCATTATTCCAGTTAGTGTAAATATCAAACCATCACCATCACCACCGCGGCCACCACTAACACCTACAGCGCCCTTCAGTACTCAGAGTGCATCATACCAGCGCCCTTGACCAACATATGTGGTGGTTATCCTCGTGGGAGCAGCCGTGACCTGTGTTTGTATACAGGTGTGTGTGTGTGTGTGATCAGGCACAGGAACCTCCCGTTTGTGCTGGCGTGTCTGTTTGTTCTGAAAGTAAATCAAGCATTCATATGTCTTTTTAAAAACCTTCGATGTTGATAGATGACTTAATAGACCTTTCCATATTTTTTTGTGTATTGGGTTTTATTCAGTAAATCCCGCTCTCAGTAAATAGTATTTCACAGAGCGGCTTCCTATTGCCTGAGTTTTCATACACCGCCTCGTGTGTGCGGGTCAAACAGTGTTGACAGCTGTGTACGGTTCCTCGGTAAATATATAATACACTGCACACGTCCTATTGTTAAATGCTGTTCTTACCAGGAATTTTCTTTTTGGATGAAGACTGAGAAAACTTAATTAATTTACTTATGACTGTAGTTTATATCCAGTCATTTGTTTTTCAATCAGATGGTTATTTATGTGTGAATTGATTATTATCATGTATTATGGTTTTGAACCTTGTCTTCAAGTTGTTAAGTACACGGCGTCGATCTCCTTCAGGTGATTGAGTAATTGCAGCGTCCAACGGGTCAGCCGCATCAACCACTTCAATTACATATATAACATCGCTAATTCATTCTAGCCTGTAATGATGTGTAAATAAAATAGGACCCTTTTCTGTGATTTGTTCCGTGCAGCTACTCGACAATAACTAAGTCTTATTAAGATAAATCACCCCGGATGAATTTCACCGAGATCAGTTAGTAAAGAAGAAGAAGAAGAAGAAGAAGAAGAAGAAGAAGAAGAAGAAGAAGAAAGAAGAAGAAAATAAAAATAAAGGGAAAAAAATTAAAGAAGAAAGAAAAAGGAAAAAACGTTAATGAAGATAAATAAATAAAAAGAGGAAAAGGAGAAAAAATAAAGAAGAAAAGACAAGGAAAAAACAATGACGATGAAAATGAAACAATGTTCCTCATCAACCAGTCAGTACAACACCAACCATCAGTAGCGTGAAAGGGCGACTTGGGTGCAGTTAGGACCGGGTGAGGGAGTGGAAGATGGGGTCCCGTTAGTTATTCTCAGCTGAGGCCACTGCGAGAATTTAACCCACTAAAACTAAACTTGCCTATCTCTCTCTCTCTCTCTCCTCTTCTTTATAACTCCGCTTTCACCTTTCACTTCCTTCCTCCTTTCCTTTCCTTTCCTTTTAGACTCACCTACTCACCTTTCTTCTCTGCTTTCCTTTCTTTTATTCTTACACTCTTTAACCCCTTTCCACTTTCACCCTTTCTTTTACCCCCTTTCTTTCGACCTCCCCACCTTACCTCACTTCTCCCTCTCCCTTCATCTTACTCTACTTACTCTGTTCATCTCCACTCTCACTTTCCCTTCCAGCACTCTCCTTTGTCTCTTACCTTCCCTCTCCTCTCGCCCTTCTCTCCCTCATTCGTCAGATAATCCCTTTTTACTCCTTCTCACTCTCTGTTTTCCTCGTCTCTCCTCTCCCTCCCCTCCTGCCTTTATCTCCTACTTTTCCTCCCCTCTTCCTCCTCTCCCTCATTCATCAAACAATCTATAATCTCATAACCAGTTCTTCCTTGATGGAGTCATCTGGTATAATTATCTCACTAACTGGTTCTATAACTTGGTCTGTGACCGGCTCTTGTGTGCCTATATTTGTCATATAAATTTACTCTTGTTATCTTGTTTACCTTATTATCTTCTCCATAATTTTTTTCTATTTCTTTTCGTTTTCATTCCTTTGTTCCAGCAGTGTGAGAGTTATTTTTTTGCAATTCTTCTTCTTCTTCTTCTTCTTCTTCTTCTTCTTCTTCTTCTTCTTCTTCTTCTTCTTCTTCTTCTTCTTCTTCTTCTTCTTCTTCTTCTTCTTCTTCTTCTTCTTCTTCTTCTTCTTCTTCTTCTTCTTCTTCTTCTTCTTCTTCTTCTTCTTCTTCTTCTTCTTCTTCTTCTTCTTCTTCTTCTTCTTCTTCTTCTTCTTCTTCTTCTTCTTCTTCTTCTTCTTTTCTTCTTCTTCTTCTTCTTCTTCTTCTTCTTCTTCTTCTTCTTCTTCTTCTTCCTTCTTCTTCTTCTTCTTCTTCTTCTTCTTCTTCTTCTTCTTCTTCTTCTTCTTCTTCTTCTTCTTCTTCTTCTTCTTCTTCTTCTTCTTCTTCTT